CTACACTAAGTTCTGAAACTATCTATGGTTAGGTTTCAATACATTTGAAGCGCTGAGTCTTTCTACGGATAGAGTTTCATTATTAACGAACTACGAACCACGACCTAGAAAGTTTCCCTGATGTTTTTTTTTAGCTTTTAACCAACGAAAAGTAGGATGATATTTTATTTTTATAGCAATGAACTGTTCTATGGGTTAAATTCCATCATAATCTTGGCATTGAAGCGATCAATTTCAAGTATTCCATTATTAGCATTCTTCGGGTAGAGCTCTTAATATATTCTTTGCTCATATTTCAATTTTATTACTAGATCCGACCATTTCTTTTATATTCTTAGCTACGATCTTTGGAAAAGAGACCAAGCATATTTTCTAGTATGCGCATTGTACCTGCTACAAACACATTTTAGGCGAAAAAGCCTGAATACACTTTTTTCAGAAACACCCTGTATGTATTGCTTATTTGTTTGCTCTGTAAACTTTAAAACTATCCAGGACCAGGGTTCAAATATATGTATTGTTCTAAAACTTACATTATTTACGTTTTGAAACTATAGCCAGATTTTATCATACCGTTAGCTCCGATTCTATCTATAAGAAGAGTAGGGTCTGAAAATACGGATATCAGCAAGAATGTAATGATATCAGTATCTGTATATTTAAGCATTGATAGCTGTTTGCGTAATAAAGAAGGGGTTATTTAATAGATTTGAAATATTTATAATCACACAAAAATGCCATTTAATCAAACTTATGTTCATGTGATGTTGTTACAGGGTTAACCACAAAGCATGAGACTTTGACGACCTAAAACTGTAAACACACACAACAAGTTGAAGTCTGAATTTTGGTTTGTGCAATGCATATAGTTTAAAGGGATGTACTTAATGATTTGGCAAAGAAAAATCAAGTTAACAGCTGCATGGAACTAAGAATATCAGAATAAAGATTAAAGGGAGTGTTCGCGAAAAATGAAAGGGGGTACAGTCTTAATGCGATAAAAAAGCGCTTTTGATCGCTACTAATCTTACTTCTATCTGTGGCGTCTATAAGGAGAAAATTGATAAAGACGTCTCATACTGAAGAGCGTAGCAAATTGAGGAAGTTGGAACATACGACTTAGACCGTAAAAAAATCAAATTAATATCAAACAAATCATTCAGATATTGATATTTCATACTAGTTTTGATTCTGTTTTTTAAAATAATATTTAGCTTACAACTTGTTTTCGAACATTCCTGGAAAATATGAAAATGTCGTTTTCTAAATCCTTAAGTGTCAACATGAATTTATTTCTGAAAAGTTCCACCGACCTTCTATATAGAAAATATGGAAAAGTTAGAAAAGTTTACTTAGCGAATCTTTTCGAAATGATAAAGACATATTTGAATTTTAAACGACTAAATCTTAAATTCAATAGAAAATATTCACTCACATTTTTGGGTTGAAGTATTTGTGTTATGTTTTAATAAAGAGTGTCATTTTTCGTAGAGAAAGGGAATAACTGAATCCTTGAAAAAAGCAAAAGAATTGAGTGTTTACCACAAACTCCGATTTTCAATTCCTATATCTTTAAAACCTAAACTCGTAGACCTGAGATATTTCAATCTATAAATTCCATAGATAAATAAATAGCTTAAATACGAAAAAAAAAACCAGAATTGTACAGTTCGTGAACTCACACAGGGGTCAAAGTGTACTTCAATGCATGACAAGCAAGGTGGTTTGGTGTTATAATGAATTTCATATCGTCTTATGCACAATCTATCTTTATCTGTAATAAGTTCTGGTAAATCCAATAATCTCACACGTTCTTAAAACAATTTGAGACTCTTTAAAACCAATCGAAATAGCATCATATAATTCCCGGTGGTACAAACCTTCCAAATTAGAAATACAATCCTAGTCTCAGAATAATTTCTAACTATAGTGGGGACCAGGAAGAGGAGGGTGTATGCTTACAGGGTTTCCAATATCAACCTTTCCACAATTAAAGGGAGTGTTAGAAAAATGAAGAAGGAAACAGGAGAAGCTATAATTTATTTTATTCTCAGTCCGATGTTTCTGCAAGAAGAGTTTTAAGGTGGCGTTTTCTGATATTTGTTTCCTCGTTCTGAAGGACAGTAGACCATGCTTTTTTCTGCTTTTTCTTCAAAAGATTTATCTTTTTAGTTTGTTCAGACTTACCCTGCTTTGTTTTCCTTTTATAGATGATCTAGTTTAATTTAAAAATTTTCCGATTTGGAGTATTTTTCAAGAGTTTTGAATTTTTATTCTTACAGAGGTTAACACACAGGTTACATTTATATGCACTTTTTAAAAGCAGTAAATGCAGAATAGTTGTATAAGATGTGAATACTACAAATATTTAAAGGGACTGTTAGCGTAATTGTATAAGATGTGAATCCTACAAACATTTAAAGGGACTGTAAGCATAATTGTATAAGATGTGAATCCTACAAACATTTAAAGGGACATCTTTTCATTGTTTCTAATAAGCAAGAAATACACAAGTCACTTTTGCAGGAAAACCACAAATGAAAAAAGACCAGTTTAAACAAAAACATTAATTTCTAATTCATACTTGATCAGACAAAGCTTTAATTTAATGGTACCGTTGTAAATCGGGCATTGTCATCTTTGCATGGAGGGTCACTTGAAATTACTCTTACAGTCCCTTTAAGCGTATGTAATAGAGTTTACCAAACTATAATTTATATTTTATTTTTTTTCTCTTCCCAGTTCTGAAATAAAATCATTTTCCAACTTCCTTTCAACAATTCTACAGATTCTCCAATTTATAATCAATTTTTTTAAAAATTATTGTAATTATTTAATTGTTTTATGTACTATACAGTACTAGTGTAATCGGATCTCTCTGTCATTTTTAAAGATATCTTTCTCAAAAAAAATCTTTTTATATATCTTGAAGAAGCAAATGTATTTACTTGTCAACATTGGTATTCCTTGTTGGGTCAAATCATCAAATCATCATTTTGCTGCTATTCAGAGAATTTTATTCAATCCTCAAAAAGATTTAAGGTTTTGACAAATCTGTCCAAAAGTGCAATGGATGGATTAGGAACCCTACCCGTAGATAGGTTTAAAGATAAGAATGAAATGAAATGCTACCCATAGATATAGGTTTAAAGATAAGAATATTACGAATCCTTAATCCTATATATAGGTTTAAAGATAAGAATATTATGGATCCTTAACACATATATTTTGGTTTAAAGATGAAAATATTATGGAACCTTACCGTATATATAGGTTTAAAGATAAGAATATTATGGATCCTTAACCGTATATATAGGTTTAAAGATAAGAATATTATGGATCCTTACCGTATATAAAGGTTTAAAGATAAGAATATTACGAATCCTTAATCCTATATATAGGTTTAAAGATAAGAATATTATGGATCCTTAACCATATATATAGGTTTAAAGATGAAAATATTATGGAACCTTACCGTATATATAGGTTTAAAGATAAGAATATTATGGATCCTTACCGTATATAAAGGTTTAAAGGTAATAATATTATGGATCCTTACCGTATATAAAGGTTTAAAGATAATAATATTATGGATCCTTACCCGTATATATAGGTTTAAAGATAAGAATATTATGAATCCTTAACCGTATATAAAGGTTTAAAGGTAATAATATTATGGATCCTTACCCGTATATATAGGTTTAAAGATAAGAATATTCTGGATCCTTAACCATATATAAAGGTTTAAAGATAAGAATATTCTGGATCCTTAACCATATATATAGGTTTAAAGATGAAAATGTTATGGAACCTTGCCATATATAGGTTTAAAGATAAGAATATTATGGATCCTTAACCGTATATATAGGTTTAAAGATAAGAATATTATGAATCCTTAACCGTATATAAAGGTTTCAAGCTAATGATATTATGGATCCTTACCGTATATATAGGTTTAAAGCTAATATTATTATGGAACCTTACCATATATATAGGTTTAAAGATAATAATATTATGGATCCTTAACCGTATATAAAGGTTTAAAGCTAATAATATTATGGATAGCAAGATTCGAAAAATAGATTTTGTGGCGGGTAGTTTTAAACTTAGCTAATAATATTATGGATAGCAAGATTCGAAAAATAGATTTTGTGGCGGGTAGTTTTAAACTTAAACACTTTCCTTAACCTGTCAAAAAAACAACACATTTTAAGACTTTCTCGATTGTCATAGAAAAGCGTCTTTTTATAACCTTCATTAAAGTTTAGAAGAAGGGATTGTTTTCTTGGCTCATAAAATACTTTGAAATCGATGAAAGATTTTTTGAAGACTCTAGATAAAATTTAAATCTTAGCAATATTATATGTGAGATTTAGCAGTGTTATATCTTGAAATAAAATCCTAAAATCTCTGCACTGCGATGTTTCCTTCTTTCTATAATATAATATGCAGACCTTGCTGTACGTGTGTTTTATCAAAGGAGAAATAGAGAAAAATGTCATTGTCATTTATTTACTCTTTTAATTGGTAAAAAACTGCTTCATGAAGAGAAAATGTTCATTTTTAAATTAACCTTCATGGAGCAATCCACAACGTCGATTGAAATATCTTTTTTTATTCTTTCTCAATTTGTTTGCAATACGGCGCAGTCGAAAGAAACTGGTGGATTTCTACTACTAGTGGATTTTAGATAAAGCCACAAGCTTTAAAAATTATATTAGTAACTTAACATTACTATGAGAATCATTTGATGAAATTATATAATTAAATTTTTTTAATGTGTGAATTTCTAAAGATGATAGTCTTAGTATCTTTAAACTATCTGTCTGGTTTACTATCTTCTATATAGATCAATTACTATAGTGTCTTCCGAAATACAATCATTGGGAAAGTTTTTTGGTTTAATCTGTTCATTCCAGATTACAGATTAAATAAAATGTTCAGCTAACATTTTATTGCCTTTTTCACTGTTTTAAATTAATTTTCTACATTTCAGAAATATGCTGAAGTTTCTGGAAAATGTAATTCAACTATGAATTAAACCAACTGATTTCTGTTGACTGATAACTGTAGATTTCCATGATTTTCCAGATAATTCTACGATACTCCAGCTGATAACAGGATATTATAGCTGATTCCAGGATACTCCAGCTGATTATAGGAAACACCAACTGATTCCAGGATACTCCAGCTGATTCCAGGACATTCCAGCTGATTCCGAGATACTCCAGATGATTTCAGGATACTCCAGCTGATTTCAGGGTACTCCAGTTGATTCCATGATATTAAAGCTGGTTCCAGGATACTTCAACTGATTCCAGAATATTCCAGCTAATTCCAGAATGCTCCAGCTGATTCCAGAATATTCTAGCCGATTCCAAGAAAACAAGCTGATTCCATGAAACACCAGCTGATTCTAATTCCGGGACATTAAAGCTGATTACAGGAAACAACAGAATATTCTAGCTGATTCCAAGAAAACCAGCTGATTCCAGGAAACCTGATTGTAGGATACTCCAGCTGATTCAAGGATACTCCAGCTGATTCCAGGGTACTCCAGCTAATTCCAGGATATTCTAGCTGATTCCAGAATACTTCAGCTGATTCCAGGATAATAAAGCTGATTCCAGGATACTCAAGCTTATTTCAGGATACTCCAGCTGATTCCAGGATATTATAGGTGATTCTATGATACTCCAGCTGATTATAGGAAACACCAGCTGATTCCAGGATACTCCAGCTGATTCCAGGATACTTCAGCTGATTCCAGGATATTCCAGCTGATTCCAGAATACTCCAGCTGATTCCAGAATATTCTAGCCGATTCCAAGAAAACAAGCTGATTCCATGAAACACTAGCTGATTCCAGGATATACCAGCCAATTCCAGGAAATACCAGCCAATTCCAGGAAGTTCTAGCTGATTCCCGGAAATAACACGATAAGCCACGGATCAAGAAAAACACCAGTTGTTCCAGGATGTGATTGAGGATATATAGTTCAGTTCCTAATTACTGACTTATTTTAAGGTAATTTCCAATACAAATGTAAGTAGCCTTCTTTTTATATTCGGCTTTCTATCTATTTGGATCTTTTCACAGGTATCAACTAAAAAACCGCAAAGCGCCATGAAAGCCTATAGTGTTAAAAATGCAAGAAATATATAAAGTTCATTGGTCTAGTTTTTATATTTGTTGCAGGAGAACTGTACGCAAAGCTTTTCATAGGTTTATAATACTATAATGTGTGTACACTGTACAATGTACACCGTACATGTATACACAGGCTTTCCCACAATTAGGATGAAACTTTGATAACGACCTGTAGCTCCTTAAATATGACAATTAGTAAATATGGTTTGTGGTAGTACCTAGAAAATAGTCTCTAAATGGCTTAAGTTTTATGATTTGGTAAGATTAATGAGACGTGTAAAGCTAAAGGGAGCCTGGAATGTAAGAAATAAAAATCAATAAATTCCGTAAAGTCATCTCTGAAGTCTCATCCTTTGTGGATAATCCAGTAGTATAATCAAACCTAAAGGAAATATAAAACTACTACAAAGAAAATGAAAATATATTTGATCTTAAATTTAAATATTTGTTTATGACATTCAGTTCAGGAATTTGAAAAAAAAACTATTTTAAATTTATGTATGTTAATAGATAATATATATACAATGACCACCTCAAACTCTTGAATTCATTCTGAAGATAAGGTCTTTAGTCTTTGGTCTTTAGTCTTTAATATGGTGTTTTAAAGATGTTTGAAATGATTTGGTAAAGAAATCAAACATTTAAATCTACAGGGAACCATTAATTTAAAATCTTCAGGGAACCATTAGTTTAAAATCTACAGGGAACCATTAATTTAAAATCTACAGGGAACCATTAATTTAAAATCTACAGGGAACCATTAATTTAAAATCTACAGGGAACCATTGATTTTAAATCTACAGGGAACCATTAATTTAAGAAAAAAATAACGATAATATTTCTTACAGTTATCTTTAAAGTCTCCTCCTGTGTTTGTAACACTGTAAACAAAAATAAGCCATGAAATTAGTATTAAATTAGAAAGAGGAAGAATGTCTCTTTCCTGAAAGAATTTTCCTTGCGCTGGGGAATGTAATCAAGCACTGGATGCTAACCAGGGAGTAAGGAATAGAAGGGAGATATAACTGACGGGGTTCGCCCTACCATATGATTATACATGCTTTGCAGACGGGTACTCCATTTGTATATGAAATATCCAGAATAGGTTATTGTATACGCGGTAATTGTACATTAGACAAATATTTCTGACGGGGTTCGCCCTACCATATGATTATACATGCTTTGCAGACGGGTACTCCATTTGTATATGAAATATCCAGAATAGGTTATTGAATACGCGGTAATTGTACATTAGACAAATATTTCTGACGGGGTTCGCCCTACCATATGATTATACATGCTTTGCAGACGGGTACTCCATTTGTATATGAAATATCCAGAATAGGTTATTGAATACGCGGTAATTGTACATTAGACAAATATTTCTGACGGGGTTCGCCCTACCATATGATTATACATGCTTTGCAGACGGGTACTCCATTTGTATATGAAATATCCAGAATAGGTTATTGTATACGCGGTAATTGTACATTAGACAAATATTTCTGACGGGGTTCGCCCTACCATATGATTATACATGCTTTGCAGACGGGTACTCCATTTGTATATGAAATATCCAGAATAGGTTATTGTATACGCGGTAATTGTACATTAGACAAATATTTCTGACGGGGTTCGCCCTACCATATGATTATACATGCTTTGCAGACGGGTACTCCATTTGTATATGAAATATCCAGAATAGGTTATAATATACGCGGTAATTGTACATCAGACAAATATTTCTTATACAAATGGAGTACCCGTCTGCAAAGCATGTATAATCATATGGTAGGGCGAACCCAGTCATTTATATCTCCCTTCTATTCCTTACTCCCTGATGCCAACGTTATTTTAAGTGAGACGTAGAATAGACGTTCCTCTTTGATCAACTTTCTGGGAGCAAACTTAGTGTTTTTCTACCATGGGTTATGAAATATGCTTTTTTTCTGCTAGAAGATAAAAGTCTTAACGATTTTTAAATAATTCTATTAAAAACAGTTGATTTTGTTTATTTAATCTTTTATCGATTAATTCTATATTAAAGTAAAAAATATTCTTAACGTAGTTTAAACAAGGGAACTAATTTTCGCCTCAGACTCTATTTTTCTTTTCCCTTGTTCTATACAATACAATGCAACCTTATGATGAAAAACTTTGATATGTTTAAATTCGATTGATTTCATAAAGTGTGAAATATCGAAGTTAACGACATCAGGTTGACCTCTGGACTTTTCCCAAACGAAGTAAAAAAGGAAGCGTGATGCAAATTCTACATTAAAAACACTACGCCATTGTTTCTCAAAACAGACGTTTAAAGATCAAGATGTAAATATTTTATATTTCTATTTTAACAAAATAAAGCCATATAACAGGAGACAATTTCTTTTATTTCATTTTCATTCTAGATGCATTGGTTGACAAAAAGATTCATCTTTTTAGATTTTCTTATTTCTCTCACAAACATTGTTAAGTTTCGAGGTGTTTCCTTCTTTTATCTTTAGATTCCTTAGTTTCATTTTCTACCTTCTTGCTTGAATATGATCGAGTGCAGAGTGCGGAAAATTTATTTCTAAAAAGATTACCGGAATATCTTAAATTTACATAATGTCTTTAAACTGTGGTTCAATTTCATTCAACAGAGTATCAGAAAGTATTCACTTCAGCCATTGGTTAAAGAGAATTTGTAAATTTTTTACACGTACATATTTAACTCGAAACAGCGTGGGGGGGGGGGCATATAAAAAGTCTCATCAATTTTAAAGACAGGGTCAACTTTGAAGTGTCGCAACGCCTTGGGCATTGATTTTACCGCTCTCAGATTATTGTCGATTTTTGTGAATTTTATCCCTATTGATAACAGTACCAATTACACTGCCGAGGAAATGCTGCAGCTTAGAATTGGAATCTTCACAGGATATCAAATAAAGATTAAATTAATCTGTAGATCGAGATCAAGCATTTATCTTAAATTCCTCAATACAAAAGTTCCCAGCTCTGGTCAAATTACTTTCTAAGAAAAATTCCAAGGTTTGTAAAAATTCATAAATCAAAATTTTATTCTGTTTTGGTTAAAGGAGGAAAATATTATCTCTGGAAATATTCCCATGAGTTGATTGAAGGATTGATCTTGAAAAAACAGCAGATCAATCATAAAACTTGTGTTTTATTGTTTGCTCTAGGATGGAGGATGTCTGGATAACCTGGAGCTTGGACCAGAACAGTTCTCATGGTAGTAGGATGAACAGCACGGGAGAAGGATGGAACGAACCAAATCTAGGATATTTCTCTCCGTTATTTGGAACATACCTCGCTGTTGAAGAATGGTATGTATCAGCAAATTTGGGAGAAATATATGAAGTCAGCGATAATATTTTTCATGATGATTTTATATTGACCCGCTTCAGGTCTTGTAAAATTTAGGATTTCTATTAAAAAAAATATGAATAAAAGAGAAGAAACCAAATAAATAAACGATAAAAATTTTTTGTAGATGGATTTCAAACAAAAACTAAAAGAGAATTATGACGCTGAAACCTGATAAAAGAGAATTATTTTGAAAAATACGAAATAATTCATGGTATCACGGTTGGTGTTTTATTCTCTCTAAAAACAACGTCATAGCTCTGAATTGTTTTTAGTTTAAATAATATTTTCTTATTCCGCAATATAATCATCTTGTCAACTCTTTACTTGATACTAGCGTTGCCCGCGCGCTTGGTCGTAAATTTTAGCTATTTTACCACATAAAAGTAGATTAACTCAACTTAGGATCTCAATATATAGATAACGGATTTGTAAAAATTTATAAATTAAATATCAAGAAAAAAAGGGGGTACGAAGCAATGCGGTTCCTAGTTTTAAAAGCAAAACCTCTGAAGGTCAAATTGACGAGTTCGTATGAGGTCCTTTTTTGCCCAAATCAGGAGGTCTTAGATAAGAAAGTAATTAAGCTCGGTCTAAGGTTAATAGAGGTATAAATCACAATTGTTACCGAAATTATTTGTGTTTTTACAAAAATATTTCATACTTTTGGGGCTATGGCATCGAAAACTTTGAAATGAAGGATTTTAAAATGATTCAAAAAGATATTTAATTCTCTAAGGTTAAGCAGTTGAGAAGGAGAAACCGTCTAAGCTACAGATTTATGATTTACAAGTTTCTTCCTAGCATTGGTTTCCAATAAAGAATTTAGTACATAGTAGACATGAATATATGTTAGACAGTGATGTAACCAGAGTTATAAGCGCATTCTTTTTTCTTTATCTTATAAAATATCTCTAAAGATTTTCTAATTTGAAACTATACTATTTCTACAAGAAAAAATTCAAGATTTATTAGTTGCAACAATTCAAATTACGGTATCCTTAACAAAGACGACATTTATATAAGTAGTTTTCTGGCTCTCATTGTATTCACGATTTATCTTCTTTTTTTTCAAAATATATAGTGTTAGTAATAAACTGAGGATTAGGTCCTAAAAAGGATAAGTCTGAACAATTAAAAATGTTGACCTTGAAAGTTGGGAATAGCAAAAGAGAAGATATATGTTGTTTTATTCAATGGCAATGAAGGATCTGAATATACTATAGAAAATAATCTAAATAGTGATATTGACATTGATTTTCTTATATTTATATTATTTTCATCTTAATCAGTAAGAAAAGATAAAAAAATCATGTAAGTAATATATATCGAACAATAAATTATTATTAAATGTAATCAATCTTTTCTTTATAACTTCTCTCTAACCATTCAGCAGAGAGTTTTTATTAATTTTTTACTTACATTTGTATAACAAGGCTTCCAGGGGGGGCCATTTTGAACTAACTACAACGGAGTGCATGCTGTATGTATCAGAATATTTTCAGTCTTATTTTCATCTCTTTAAAGGGAGTGTTCGCGAAAAATGAAAGGGGGTATAGGCATAATGCGATAAAAAAGCGCTTTTGATCGCTACTAGTCTTACTTCTATCTGTTGCGTCTATAAGGAGAAACTTGTTAAAGACGTCTCATACCGAATAACTTACCGTCCATACAAATTCAGAAAATTGCGACATACGACTTAGACCGTAAAAAAATCAATTTAATTTCAAACAAATCATTCAGATATTACAACCTATAGTCATCGATTATCTTTCGCCACATTTGTATATAGTTTATATTTTATAATATTTTTTTAATTAATTTGTTTTGAATTTGATTATTTCACTTGCGGCTTGCGCAACTATCTAGGAATGCCGCGGACCACTCACATTTTTCGAAATCATTTAAAACGTTTTCTAAAAAGATCAAATATAAACCATATACGAATGTGGCGAAAGATAATCGATGACTATAGGTTGTAATATCTGAATGATTTGTTTGAAATTAAATGGATTTTTTACGGTCTAAGTCGTATGTTACAATTTTATGAATTTGTATGGGTGCTAAGTTATTCGGTGTGAGACGTCTTTGAAAAAACTTTGTATTGCAGCGTTCATATATATAAGATATTTCCGGCTTCTACGGCCCAGTTCATCTCTTTAAAAGATAAAGATACAAAGTGAACGGTTCTCAAGTTCTTGTACAGATATTTTGTAGTATCTCCAGGTTCATATGCAGTTGTATCTTTATAATATCGTGTTATGTACGGATTGATCCAATTGTACAGGCGAGTTTTCTACAGTCTCAGGTACACACATAGGGTAATAATATATGTATGAAGTTATTCAGATGTACAGGATACAGCAATACACATATCTCCAGGATCAAACATAACTCCGTTCTTCCAAAGTATCTCAACGGGTTCCAGGTTCATATACCTTGGTACTATAAGCAATGATATTCATCGTTTAGCACCAATATGTATTAAAATTAATTATTAATTTAAAACAAATCATAGCAGCAGAGGGGGAAAAAAATTTTTTTTTACTTTTATTAAACAAGGATTTTGCCGGAATTAGAGCAGATTTTAACTTGAGGAAATAAGAAAGACCTTTTTCGTTTACATATTGCATTAGTTCCTGGGATTATTACTTCCGTTTTATCGGACCAAGCTTATTATCGGAGCAGGTTCTTCTGAGTTTCAATTTGCACATCACAAGAAGTGCTTGTACCTAGAAAAAGTTGAACCGAATTATATAATTGAGAACCAAACAATTTCCCGTTGGAATTCTAAGTTTACCGGAATGGTTTGAAGTAGAGTGTAAGTGGTCAGGTTTCCTCTCCTCTGGATCTCGCTAAGAACATGATAGAAAGGTTTCCGGGTCTCACTGGTATGCAGGCGTAACCTTGTAATAAATGAGAAATTTTTAAATATTTTGATTGACAATTAACTCCTGCAACAAGATAGTTGAAATATTCAGGTAATAATGTGCGTACACAATAATATTGGTGTATATTACACATAAATGAACGGTTCTCAGGTTCTTATACAGATATTTTGTAGTATCTCCAGGTTCATATGCAGTTGTATCTTTATAATATAATATTATGTACCGATTAATCCAATTGTACAGGCGAGTTTTCTATAATCTCAGGTACACAGCTAGTATCAGGTACACAGCTAGAAAAACTTAAACTCTCCTTCATTCTAGTTCAAGCACACTGCACAGTGGGGAAGATATAACTTAAACTCTCCTTCTGTCTAGTTCAAGCACAGTGCACAGTGGGGAAGATATAACTTAAACTCTCCTTCTGTCTAGTTCATGCACACTGCACAGTGGGGAAGATATAACTTAAACTCTCCCTCTGTCTAGTTCATGCACACTGCACAGTGGGGAAGATATAACTTAAAATCTCCCTCTGTCTAGTTCATGCACACTGCACAGTGGGGAAGATATAACTTAAACTCTCCTTCAGTCCAGTTCAAGCACACTGCACAGTGGGGAAGATATAAATTAAACTCTCCTTCAGTCTAGTTCAAGCACACTGCACAGTGGGGAAGATATAACTTAAACTCTCCTTCAGTCTAGTTCAAGCACACTGCACAGTGGGGAAGATATAACTTTGACTGAAATAATAAAACTAAAAAAGGAAATTTTATTTACAATTATATTTTACTATTTTTCTATTAGGACAGTTTAAGAACTATCAATGATTATTCTCAACTAACAAAGCTGTGTAGAGATCAATTTTAAAATTTTAGCTCTGGTTAGTTTGGCCTTATAGAGTTAATTGTGATTTCAAGTAACAAATTCCTATGTGATAAAACATTCTTCTTAAACTTATACAAAAGAAAAAATTCTACAGTTTTCCGGAATTTAAAAAATTTATTTTGAAAATATTATTACATTGGATATTACTAGAAAAGAGAGGATTAAAACACGATAAAAAGTACATTAAACTAATTATTCCGAGAAATTATAAAAATTTAAAACATATCTCCGTATCATTAAGCTATTTAAAAAACTAAATTGAACCACTCTCCTCTCTTCTTAAACAGCAGAAAGTAATTTGAATAATGATTTTATTTGAGCAATTAAGATATATCTATAGAAGTTTTATCATTTCAAACATTAACACAGAGCAGATAGATATAGATTATAGAGCAGATAGATATAGATTATAGATAAGATAGATATAGATTATAGAGCAGATAGATATAGATTATAGAGCAGATAGATATAGATTATAATTATATAACTTAAAGGGACTGTAAGCGTAACTTCAAGTGACCCTCCATGCAAAAAGTAGAATGCACGATTTACAACGGTATCCTTCAAACGTTTATCTGAGACCGAGGGTGACTGTTCATCTGAGACCGAGGGTGTTTATCTGAGACCGAGGGTGTTTATCTGAGACCGAGGGTGTTTATCTGGCATTACCCATATTCCTCGAAACTCCAGAACGTATATATTCAATTCCTGCGACAAAGAAAGTAATATATATATTTTTAAATATAAATCAACAATGTGTTCAACACTTACAAGAGTTTCTGGAAACAACCTAAAAGGATCGTTATCGTTGAACAATCAAAGGTTTAAAAGATACAGTGAACCGAACACGCTATTCTACAAATGAGGGTCACGTGATTTGCACTGAATAAAATATGTAGATATATATAAGGATAGGTTGTTGTTATAGTGCATATTGTTGTTGGAGTTGAGTATAGGTTGTTGTTACAGTGTATATTGTTGTTGGAGTTGAGTATAGGTTGTTGTTACAGTGTATATTGTTGTTGGAGTTGAGTATAGGTTGTTGTTACAGTGTATATTGTAGTTGGAGTTAAGTATAGGTTGTTGTCATTCATTCATATTTTTATTCACCTACAAAGCATGAGCTATTATAAATAAGCAATCACAATTTACTATGCAGTTTGGACCCGCCTAACCAGGGTAGGTTGTTAGTTAACGATAATGAATATAATTGGTTACACACATCAAATTATGTTTTTGGATAGGTAAGGAGTTGATTGTCAGGTAGGAGATTGTCAGGTAATCTGTGGTAGGGTGAGATCAGAGGCATTAATGTTGAAACAAATTAAATACGGGATGTACAGGATGGTGTATACACAAGCACAAATATGCAAATAAGGTTTCAGTTTTTTTTATATAAGATCTATAAGATGATATGCAACTAGGTTTTTCGCATTTAAACCTCTCATAATTCTCAGATAAATATTGATTACTCTTTGTTTGAATATTTTTGCAGATTTAGTTTCTTTAAGGTCAATTTCAATTGCATTCCACAATTTAGGAAACATGCGGACGGAATGCTTTCTAGATTTTTGTTTAAAAATCGTTCTAATTTATATGATTTTGTTTTGGCGTTTTCCATTAAATGTAAAAAATATTTTGAAAGGGGGTTTGAGACTTAAACATATTTTGGAAGGAAGAGGGAAGGTTATCATAAAAGTATTCATGCATAAATGTCAGAACACTAAGTTTGTATGTATCATCAAGATTAAGAACTTTTAGTTTTGAAAATAATGGATTTGAATGTGCCTTGAAAGTAGTATTATTAGCCGCTCTGATTGCCTTTTTTTGTAAATAGAGTTTTTAACCTCTCCCCAAGTAAGAATTCCATATTCAATATGAACCCGTACAAGAGAGATATAAACAAGTAGAAGAATGTTTAATGGTAAGATATTCTTAATTTGAGACAAAGATATTCTTAATTTGAGACAAAGCAAAGATTGAGCTAACAATTTTTTGTCGAGATATGTTCAATTTGAAAATCCCAGTTTAAAAATTCGTCAAGTTTAAGTCCAACAAATTTGAAATATTTGTTCACACAGTCATTACCAATCCTTTCAGGTATCTCATTTCCTCTTGAGGTCAAAGTGCATATTTTCTTATCTAAATACTATATACTTTGTTTTGGAGACATTTAGTGTCAAACGATTTGTTTGAAACCATTTTACTGCTTTTTTTTATAGTTCAGTGTTTGCATCAAGTATTAGGCTTGCAATATCAGGAGATGACTTTAAAAACTAGTATCATCTACAAAGAGGCTGGTAAAAAAGTTGTTGCGAGGGGCAAATCGTTCATGTACAGAAGAAACAGCGGGAGCCCTAGAACACTTTCTTGAGGAACACCACATGCTATAATTAAAACACCATTTTTACAAACATATTGAGTTCTGTTAACAAGATAATGTATAAACCATGGGTGCTATGGCATCATTTTCGAAACCATAATTAATTATTTTTTTTAAAAGTATATCTAAAGCACAACAATCAAACGCTTTCTGTAAGTCTAGGAATATTCCAAGTGTAAATTCCGGTTTAGATTTGCTGTGTATATTTAAGTCTATATCTACATATAGTTTAGTGTATATTGATATTGTGTTTATATTGTTGAAGTATGAATCAAGTATATATGTTTATAGTTTAGCGTATGTTGATATTGTGTTTATATTGTTGAAGTATGAATCAAGTATATGTTTATTGTTTATAGTTTAGTGTATATTGATATTGTGTTTATATTGTTGAAGTATGAATCAAGCATATGTTTATTGTTTATAGTTTAGTGTATATTGATATTGTGTTTATATTGTTGAAGTATGAATCGAGTATATGTTTATTGTTGTTGGAGCTGTTGGAGTAAAGCGTGTGATTACTAAACCTAAAATATTTTAAAGAAAGGAATTGATTCTTTGTAACAAACTCTGGTTTTCCAATCCCTATATCTTTTCAACCCAGTGCAGTAGACCTTTGATATTTCAAACTATGAAATATATTAGATTAAATAATCCAAGGTTGAAATATCAAAGGTTTACACCAACCGGTTGCAGAGATATAGGGATTAGAACATTTCAGTTTGTGGCAAAAACTCAAATCCTTTATTTGAAAAATCAAAAAATAAATCCTTCTACTGAACTGTTTGTTGTTTAGACTAAACTACGATGCTGATAATATTAAAATATGTATATTGAGAATATTAATAGGAATAAGACTATGAATGAACCAAGAAACTAGATCCAGCAAGAATGCATATGATACCGGGGGAAATATAAGAGAGATATTTATAATCAATTTATTAGGAATTAATAATAATAATAATGATAATTATTTTTCTTCATTTGCATGAACTACATTTTTTTGTATTCTCACATTTGTTTCGTTGATATACGATTCAAATACGACTTATTTCAATACAAACAGGTTTAAAATATCTTTTATTTTTAGGGAGGCAGTTGCAACTATTGGAGTGTTGGGTATCATCATTATTATCACAATCATTGGAAATATCTTGGTGATATTATCAGTATTCAGGTTTTAAATTTATCTTTTTATATTCATCACTTGACGAATAAATTTGTAAAACTTTGTAATTGTTAAGGCATCCACCACTGCAAAATGTTTCAAACTACTTCATCGTTTCCCTAGCAGTAGCAGACCTTACGGTAAGTCAAGCAGTTCTTATTCAGTAAGTTTATTACAGTTTACGATAAGTTTTCTTTTCTTGTTTTCTGAAAAACAGATATCCAATTGTTATATAGAAGATCAGATATCCAAAAGTTATATTGAAGATCAGATATCCAATATTTATATTAAAGAGCAGATATCCAATTGTTATATTGAAGATCAGATATCCAATAGTTATATTGAAGAGCAGATATCTAATAGTTATATTGAAGATGAGATATCCAATAGTAATATTGAAGAGCAGGTATCCAATAGTTATCTTTAAGAGCAGGTATCCAATAGTTATATTGAAGAGCAGGTATCCAATAATTATATTGAAGAGCAGATATCCAATAGTTATATTGAAGAGCAGATATCCAATAGTTATATTGAAGAGCAGGTATCCAATAGTTATAATGAAGAGCAGGTATCCAATAGTTATATTGAAGAGCAGATATCCAATAGTTGAAGAGCAGGTATCAAATAGTTATATTGAAGAGCAGGTATCCAATAGTTATATTAAAGAGCAGGTATCCAATAGTTATATTGAAGAGCAGGTATCCAATGATTATATTGAAGAGCAGGTATCCAATAGTTATATTGAAGAGCAGGTATCCAATGGGTATATTGAAGAGCAGGTATCCAATAGTTATATCAAAGAGCAGGTATCCAATAGTTATATTGAAGAGCAGGTATCCAATGATTATATTGAAGAGCAGGTATCCAATAGTTATATTGAAGAGCAGATATCCAATAGTTATATTGAAGAGCAGATATCCAGTAGTTATATTGAAGAGCAGGTATCCAATAGTTATATTGAAGAGCAGATATCCAATAGTAATATTGAAGAGTAGGTATCCAATAGTTATATTGAAGAGCAGATATCCAATAGTTATATTTAAGAGCAGATATCCAATAGTTATATTGAAGAGCAGATATCCAATGATTATTTCTCAGGAGTAATTTAAATATTTGGAATTTCAGGTTGCACTAGCTGTGATGCCCTTCAACGTAGCGTATTCTATTCTGGGGAAATGGATCTTTGGAAGTGTGCTTTGTAAGGTATCAATAATATCGAATCTAATATAGAGTTATCTAAACTTTGTGAATGTTATCTATTAATAAAACTGTTGTAGGTCTGGTTGACCTCTGATGTTCTCTGTTGTACTGCGTCTATCCTTAATCTCTGTGCAATAGCTGTGGACAGGTTAAGACGATTATTTAATTTTATTTTAGAGTTTTTCTCACCAGCTTTCGGCGAAATAGAAATTTTTCTAAATTTTATTTTATACTAATTTATTAATTTATTATTGACTCAATTTACATGTAAAATTAGTTTTAAAATAAGGAACTGAGTTTTTCCCTCAAACTCTGATTTTCTAGCCCATTTATCTTTTCAACCAGATGTTGTAGACCTATGATGTTATAAACTATGAATTCTTCTAGATCAAATAGTCGTTTGAAATATTAAAGATTCACATCATCTGGTTCCAAAAATATAGGGTTTATTAAATTTCAAAAACTCAATTTCTTTTCATGAAGTTATTTCTCTCCATTTTTTATTGTTCAACTCAGAATGATCAAATCAACCAAATCTTTTAACTCATTGTCTTTCTTAATACTTTAGAGTTATATATAAATTTATTAGTCGTATTATCGATGTTTTGGACAACATTTTCAAAATTTTTGTATTGTTCGGATTTTAGGCACAAAAAAAATAAAATGGAATAAAAAATTTTAAAATATTTTTAAAACGTTGAAAAAAATTTGTGAAACCAAATTTTTTATTAAAAAATATAAGTTTTTGTAAAATTGTTGGGAAATGTTTATTCTATTGTTTTCCAAAATTTATAAAAATTCTTTAAACATTAGATGAGATATAACAAAAAATGCAAGCCAATTATTTTCATTTTACAAAAACTATGGAAAATTTTAATTATTACTCGCTACATAATATATCTATCATTTCATGCAGTAAATATTTCATGATAGAATCCATCAACACATAAATTGCTCAAATTAAACGTAGGTTTTATTGTACAAAATTCTCGATTTTGATTTAACGAACAAGTAGGAGAAAAGCAAATTTATTTGGTTACATATTAGAGGTGCAAAACATTTGTGTTTTTTCTACAGCCATTTTAAAAGAGAAGTTATGATTTCAATCTAATATTAAGTTAACTTAGTTTTCAGTGACAATATTTTTCAGGTTTTAATGTAGAAAATTCAATATTTTATATTTTCTGCAAGAACTTTTTTTCCAGGTATAGAGCTATTCATGATCCAATCAACTACGCGACCAAGGAAAATGATAAACAAGAAATGAAAACAAGAAAAAAATTTCTTAGATTAGATACTGTTGGTTTAATTTTAACGCTGAATGTGCATTTAATGCAAAATTTTTTTATGAATCATTTCTCAATGGTGACAGATTCATTGTTTAAAAACAAAGGTTCCTTCAAAAACGTTAATTTATAGACAAAATAAAAAATCTTTAAGAATAATCAAATATTTCAAAAAAGCTTTTTCCCCAAATGAATTATTTTGTTTACAGATGTTCTTTTTTGTTGTAAAGGAATTGGGTTTTTGCAACTAAAATTTTATAATCCCTATTTCTTTGCAACCTGATGGTGTAAGCCATAAAGATTTTTATTCAGAGGTTAGAAAATCAGAGTTTGGCAAAGACTCATTTTCTTTCGCACACACACAACTATAATTAAAGAAATTAGAGTGTTCTAGTCAAGAAATTAACATGAAGAGTTTACATTTTCAATCCAGAGAACTGTCTGGAGTGTGAGTAAGATGATATGTTGGGTTTGGTTAATCTCCTGCCTCATCTGCCTGCCCCCGCTAATAGGTATTTGTCGTCTTTAATTAAACCGGTTTTATCGACCATTAATGTACTGCACACAGGTAGCAGAGCGTAGATATTTGATTCAACGCTCAGTTATTTCAGTTTGTTTAATGTTTACAATAAAACTTCAAAATTTAATCATAATAGCAAAAACTGCATTAAGTTTTTTATAATTATTTTTTTAGGCTTAAAACTATGTTGAAGTAAAATCCTTTGATAAGACTTGTGCTTTTGATTTGGGCAAATATTCTTCAAAATATTTGCCAATTTTCGCCTTTTTAAAAATTGTTTATATTTTTTCCGCGATGGTCAATATAAAGACGTTTTGGGCTTTATTAGCCTAGCTTGTATAACAAACCCTATACTAACCATTGCTAGATACATTAGGTTTATTCAATTTAATATAATTTTAGTTTTGATCTATTTTAATAATAATCTGTAAAGATAAAGAGCTGTCTTATACTTTTTCATTTAGACGCATCCGCCAATAAAAAGGATAAGGAAGAAAACGAGAAAAAATTTATTATTAATAGGTCAAATGTTATTCATAGTCACAGCTTGCTGAGACTGAAGGACCGAAATATTAAATCAGTGTGAACAACCCAGCAAGTAGTAAAGTACAATATTACAAACTAGGTTTCTATGTTTCTCAATAAAAATGTTCAGTTTCATGGTTGGTTTTATCTGCAACCATTTGCTTGCCGTACAATATCAAACATTAACTATTATAAAGTCGCTGATATCGCAGTTTTATTGAGAATTCTCACATTTACGAGTATTTTTTATTTCCTGACTAGCTAAAATTCATTTAGAGGCAGGACAAGAGAGAGAAAATGTAAAAAAAAAACTTAAGAAGTAAAATAGAAAATATACATAAAACTGATTATCAAGTTAATCACATGGGATGTGAGGAATTTTACCTCGCTGGATCCAGATTTTGCTCCCGGCATGCATCTCAAATTACATTTCCTTTAATACAAGCCTAATTAGATTTTTCTTAACTATCCTTTACTGTTTGGAGAGAAATTAATTCTTACTCTTAGAAAAATCTACTTGTTTGTTTGGGTAGTTAAGCAAGCATTTAAGTTGTCAGTTTCAACCACCATGTACAAGTTTTGTCTGAGATAAACCTCACAAGGATCAGAATTTAATTGTTGAAACAGCCACTGTCAGCCAAAGCCTTTTTATACTATTTATCACTTTTCAATTCTGACATTGTTAAACAGGGCTAAGCAATGCTAAGCAGTGCTAAGCAATGCTAAGCAGTTCTAAGCAATGCTAAGCAGTTCTAAGCAATGCTAAGCAGTGCTAAGCAATGCTAAGCAGTGCTAAGCAAAGCAGTGCTAAGCAATGCTAAGCAGTGCTAAGCAATGCTAAGCAGTGCTAAGCATTGCTAAGCAGTGCTAAGCATTGCTAAGCAGTGCTAAGCAATGCTCAGCAGTGCTAAGCAATGCTAATCAGTGCTAATCAGTGCTAAGCAGTGACCATTTTTTTCCGACCTGTAAGATGGCAAGAATATACATATATTGTACTTAAATAAATGCCAATATTTAATTAACAGCTGTAAGATGGCAGAAAATATATCTATATATTATACTTAAATATATGTCATTATATAATAAACCTTTAAGATAGCAAATTTCATGTTTACTCAACAGATGAAATATTCATGCAACATACACTGTATAGAAAACCATGCAGATAAGGAAAACGTGCCAGAATAACCCACTGGTTTAATTTAAAAAAAAATTCTAAGCCAAAAAAAATCAAAAGTTTAAAATAAATTAGTAAATAAATTGTATTTTTAAACAAAGGAATTGAGTTTTTGCCACAAACTCAAATTTTCTTATCCTTATATCTTGGCAACCTAATGGTGGAAACCCTTGATAATTCAAACTTTGGCTATTCGATCTAACAGAATTCATAGTTTGAAATATCTAACGTCTACGAAATCGGATTGCAAAGATATAGGTTTTAGAAAATCAGAGTTTGTGACAAAGACTCAATTCCTTTGTCAAGAGATATGAACACTGTCTGCAACATGTCGTAAAAGTATAAAAAAGGTTTATCTTCATGACTGAGAGGTTTAACTAACTTAGCTTTAAAGAATGCTTTTCTGGCTTATTTCAGAAGAAAAAATTGATACTTTGATAATTTTAGTCTAGTTTAAATGCATTATTCTTGTTGCAAATACAGCAATCCCCATATTTGTTAACATGAACATACCTAGATATATGAAACATGAGCTTGTTGACTTTAAATGTCACTATAATAAAATAAAGAGATCTAAAATGGATATTTCTAACATTTATTTTAAAAAACGAGTGTTTTGAAATATTTGCATTTAAGGCGGAGTTAAAATTGGTTGATTTAGAAATTAACAAAGGAATTAATGATGGATATTTGATGGTACTTCATGGGAGTGTTGTAGAGCTTCATGTTGGTGGAGCAGATCGACAGGAACTGAGATAACAGGGCTTATCAATGGAACTAAGGCAATGCAACTCGAGATAGCGGAAACTTCGGTCAGAGCCCTGCACAAGTTTCCTAAGTAAGCTTCTCAAGAAGTTAATAGGGAGCTCAGAGGTATAAGCACGCCTGCTGCCAGCTCAGTATCTGCATCGTCAGCATGAAGGAGTCAAGAGGCTCCCTGTGTCGGAGCTGTTACCAGCCCAACTCTCCTAACCTGACTGACCGGGATGTGTTATAGAGGGGTGAGGCGGGGAAAGAAGGAGCAAGGGTTACATGTGTGTACTTCATGGCGGAAATGGATCTTGTGTACACACGCATCTTGAGAAAAGGCTACGGCATTTGAGTCCGAAAAATCGTCTTCCTTATATTTTCGAATTTGTATTAACATTACCCCCTACTGGGGTTAAATTAAAAAGGGATTTTAATTTAACAAAGATTAAAACAAATTCGAAACTTTAAAATCCAACCAACCAAGATATAACTCGCCTAGATTTCCATATTTCAAAATGTTGACTTTAAAAGTCACTATAATAAAATAAAGAGATCTAAAATGGATATTTCTAACATTTATTTTAAAAAAACGAGTGTTTTGAAATATTTGCATTTAAGGCGGAGTTAAAATTGGTTGATTTAGAAATTAACAAAGGAATTAATGATGGATATTTGATGGTACTTCATGGGAGTGTTCTAGAGCTTCATGTTGGTGGAGCAGATCAACAGGAACTGAGATAACAGGGCTTATCAATGGAACCAAGGCAATGCAACTCGAGATAGCGGAAACTTCGGTCAGAGCCGTGCACAAGTTTCCTAAGTAAGCTTCTCAAGAAGTTTATAGGGAGCTCAGAGGTATAAGCACGCCTGCTGCCAGCTCAGTATCTGCATCGTCAGCAAAAGGAGTCAAGAGGCTCCCTGTGTCAGAGCTGTTACCAGCCCAACTCTCCTAACCTGACTGACCGGGATGTGTTATAGAGGGGTGAGGCGGGGAAAGAAGGAGCAAGGGTTACATGTGTGTACTTCATGGCGGAAATGGATCTTGTGTACACACGCATCTTGAGAAAAGGCTACGGCATTTGAGTCGGAAAAATCGTCTTCCTTATATTTTCGAATTTGTGTTAACAGAGCTATGTAATATAATTAAAACATGCATTGTGATTAGCTTAACTTTGCTTATATCTATCTATGTTAATTCTTTAAATAGGTACATTAAACTTAAACTAGGCTGTAAACATGTGTGAAGATAGCTTAACTACGTTATATCTTTGTTCGCTAATCTTATAAATACGGAACATGATTGTCTTAATCATGTGATATAGATAACAACAAAGGAATTGTAACCTCTATTACCTTTAACTTGTAACACATAAAACCTCAAATACATTAGTTAATATAGAAACTCCACTTTGATTACAGTGTTGAGAGTGATTTGGTTTTCGTTGAAACATGCGAATTGAAATCGTGTCTTGATTTAGACATTGATGAATTGATTGCTATTTTCGGGTTGACATAGCTAACAAGATCACGCCCAGTTCATGGGATTATAGCCATGTGGATTGTGTCCTGTTTGATACATTGATCAATTGATTGCTATTGTCGGGTTGACATAGCTATGTCATAGCTATGGCATAGCCAGTGGCGTTGATAGTTCATGAGATTGAAGCCGTGTGGATCGTGTCCTGTTTGAGACATTGATCAATTGATTGCAAGTGTCCGTATTGACACTGATAGCTAACAAGATCGCGCATTTACTACATACTTTCTTCTAAAATTTGACATTTAACATGTATTTAGAATTTTATTCGTGTCGTTCAATTGTAAGTAACATAATACTTTTATCTTGATAGGATGCGAGTTTAACTTTTTAAAATATTCAATCCAATTTTGTGGATTTTAATAACAAAGACGACATTTTCTATCCATAAATCGATCTTCTCAACTTTTCACTTGAGTGCAACTGATTAAGAATGCCATTACATCAATTTTATTTTTATGAAATCCGTGAGTTTTATTGATCAAATCTAAATTCAATATTTGGATTCAGCACCTGCAGCCTAGAGCCAATTTCACTTCTCTTTAACAGTCCTTTTGCCCATGGTTGTTTTTTCCATCCATGGCATATTTTTTATTTTTTTATATTATTGCATTTTTTTTAGGTTGGAACGACTGGCCAGAGGAGTTTACAGACGAGACTCCTTGCCAACTTACAGAGGAACAGGGATATATAGTGTACTCAGCTTCAGGTAGTAGGATAGTAGGATGGTAGATTGGTAGGATAGTAGGATAGTAGGATAGTATGATAGCAGGATAGTAGGATAGTAGGATATTAAGATAGTAGGATAGTAGGATAGTAGGATAGTAGGATAGTAAGATAGTAGGATAGTAAGATATTAGGATAGTAGGATAGCAGGATAGTAGGATAGTTGAATAGTTGAATAGTAGGATAGTAGGATAGTAGGATAGTAGGATAATAGGATAGTAGGATTGCAGGATGGTAAGTAGACGGTGTTATGGGTAGGATGAGTATGATGGGTAGGATGGGTAGGATGCGCAGTATAAGAATGCTAGGTAAGATTGGTAGGGTGAGCAGTATTAGAATGCTAGGTAGGATTGGTAGGGTGAGCAGTATTAGAATACTAGGTAGGATTGGTAGGATGAGCAGTATTAGAATGCTAGGTAGGATTGGTAGAGTGAGCAGTATTAGAATGCTAGATAGGATTGGTAGGATGAGCAGTATTAGAATGCTAGGTAGAATGAGTAGGATGAGAAGGATGAGTAGTATTATAATGCTTGGTAGAATGGGTAGAATGGGTAGAATGAGTAGAATGAGTAGAATGAGTAGGATGGGTAGGATGAGTAGAATGGGTAGAATGAGTAGAATGGGTAGAATGGGTAGAATGAGTAGGATGGGTAGAATGAGTAGAATGAGTAGAATGGGTAGAATGGGTAGAATGAGTAG